CTCCGCCAGGAGTGCCTGATCCTCCGTTGTTGCCACCGCCTCCGCTGCTGCTGGCACTGGGACTGTTGCACATCAAGGGTGCTCCGCCGCCGGATTGTGCACCCCCATGGGGTTGGTGGAGGAGTCCAGCAGATTCTCTGAGGGATTGAATTAGATTTTTGAATTTCGGAATTTATTCATATTTCTCTATTACCTCCGCTGTGCATGTAATGTGCTGGATGTGGCGCAGGTTATTGGAGTTGAGGCGCAGCCCTGAGTTGCCACCGCCTCCCCTGACCCACCACCACCTCCACCAGTGGCTCCTCCACCTTGATGCTGACCAGCATAAATGCAAGAGGGCAGATCGTTGATCAGATCATCGTCGAAATTGTGAAAGGGTAAGTGACTAAAGGGGAAGGGTTTATATAATTAATAAAAATTCGAAAGAAATTAAGATCTTTAATACGGTTCCAGAACAAGTGAGAAAATAGACACATATATCTACAATGTACACTATTCTCTGGTAATGTAATTATTAAAACATATTAATTTTTAATCAGTGGAGTTGCCGACGGCATAGTAAATTTTAATACATTTTTACGGGCGCCACGCCCTTCGTTTTTTATAGATATTTATTTTACCATCAAAAAGATCCAATAAATAGTAGAGTATGTATACCAAACGCCTTAAAAATGCTCTAAAAAAATAAAAACTTTATATTAAATTTGCAATTTCAATATTTTAAGATTATTACACAGGATGTTGCTTATAAATTAGTTGGTATATAGTTTTTTTAAGTTACGGATTATTTTTTGGAGATTAATTTTGAAGACGTGTCATGGTTTTTTATAAAAGAGAGGGCACCTTTAATTAATTTTTTAAGTTATCAAAGGAAAATTCAATTTGAGTATTTGATTAAGGCAGAATCCCGTACCTTATGGGAGGCGAAGAGGACGAGTCTGGTAATTGATTTCGCGACATTTTGCAATTTTATTCTCACTTAAGATTACTTTTCTAGTAGAAATTTTTAACGACTAAAACTTTTCCGGACTCTATTACGCACTTCCGCTGTCCAATAAGTTATAACTTTAATGAGTCCATCTCCCGGGAATTGTGAGCCTTTTATAGTGCCGCAGATCCAATTGGAAATGCCACAACTCTGGCCAGGACCTTTCCACCCCTAAACGTCCTGGCAGCCAGTCGCCGTGCGCCCTCTACTCGATGGGCGGAGCTTGCCAAGTACAGGGTGTTTGCCCCTGCAAATGGAACGGAAGCTGTGGGAAAGTCGTTGGACTTGTTCGCCTCCGGCTGCCCTTCGATTGCAGGGCGGAGATCGGATTTGGAGTTAATTATGATAATTGATTTGTCGGGTTCCTAAAGGATCGGAATCAAGGAGTTTGATCTTGACTCCATAATGTGTTTTTAATAAAAATATATAAAGTAATTTTTTTGATATAAAACTTTGGAAATAACAAGATGAGGTTCTGTAATTGATCCTGACAATTTCTGTTTAATTATTTTTACAGAAAATTACATTTTTTTTTTAAATTTTAAAAAAGTAACGTCCTCTTCGATTTACTCTGACCTATAGAAAATTTTTCCATACCTCAAAGTTTCCTAATAGATTGTAGGACATCTTTAAGTCTTCTATCCTTAAACCACCATTCCAGCTCCTCCCCTTCTTCTTTAGCTTCAATCCAGTATTCGCTTTGTGCTCCCTTCACCTGTTTCTGACATTCTGCCATTATATTTCGCACAGCAGGAAGCCGCCATGTTTGTGTCCACCACTTTGATGATGTGGGAGGACAAGAAAGAATATTCTTGGATGGGGGGACCTGTCTAACCCTACCCCAGATAACCCTATCGTACCCCATATTAAAGTCAATTTTTCAGACATATGGGAGACGAGCTTCTTTATCGAAAAGTCTGCTGGTAATCGGAGTACAATCCAAGGACCTGTTGATCTGACTCTCTAATTTTGATTCCCACGGGATGCGGACGTAGCATAGCCAGAGCAATTAGATCCAAGGCAGATAGAGCTGGTTGCTACATTTCACGGATCATTTAACCTAACCAGAACCAGAAACAGGATCAGGATCGGATCGGGAACCACTCGAAGCCGCAGCCTTGTCAACAGCCACAGTCACGGGGCAATTGTTGAAATTGAATTATGTTTATTTGATGTTTTGGTTTGCTCGCAAATTAGCTACGTCAGCCACGTCAAAGTGGAGAACGCCCCGCCCCGTCAGCGGCCAGGTCACGTGCCCTAACCCGAGGCGCGAAAATCCCGAGCAGTCCGATCCGCAGAACAAAAGGACCGGCAATATGTCAGGGATGCGGATGCGCAAACCTTTTCATTACCAGACAAATTTGCTTGTCGCACGCGTCGGCGCACACTTCGAACCCTTCGAACACCCCTCGCACCCCAGAACTCCGGGGTCTGATGACAGTAATCAGTTTTGATGGAGGGTAAGTGCCCGAATCCGGCACAGAATTCGAGTCCAAAACGATTGAGCGGCAGATAGGTATGTGTTGCCCCGAACAAAGCTGACATCCTTAAGTGAAATCTTGTTACCAACCAATGTAAACACGATTGTTAATTTAACTTTAGCAATTGCCGCAGGAAAACCGCCCTGTAACCCTTGGTTGTACCCTAATCCTAACCCTAACTCTAACTCTCAGCCCAACCCAATGAGTTGGACTTGTCATCGCACCACAATTAAATTATCGCATTTCAAACGAGTGCACCGAAGGAAGTGTAAATCACGGACTGTGGGAAAACCAAAAATAAATAGAATAAATATCCTAAGCCCATTTGATTTGCATATAAGAGTATTACTTGAAAAGTCCTTTATGGCTAAGCTGTACGGAACTTGCTAATTTAAGTTGGGTTATAATTTTAAACCAAAGTCCAATTGAGTGGCAAGCTTGTGGGAATAAGTTATAAATATAATGCCTTGGTAAACTTATTTGCTTAAAAATATCTAGCTTATTTATTATGACTATCTTTGAACTCCCACTATCTGCTAAAACAAGTTCTAAAAATATGCTAATAATCTGAAATAAAAAATATAAAGCGAATTGTACTTGATATCAGATTATTTTTAATTGTTAGTCAATTGATTAAAACTAAATTAAGTACGTATCTCTACTGATGACATAGTTAATAAAAATTATGGATTTTCCAAGCGTTTAAATCAAAGTGCCCTCCCAATCGGAGTTAGCTCACAACCTCTATCTGAGTTTTTTTAAACGAATAAAAAAAGATTATCTGAGATCAGTCAGTTGGCATAATTGAATCAAATGGTTCTCACACACTGGGCAAATAAAGAAAACAGATTGATAGTGTCAAGGAGTTGCGAACGCAGCCATCAACCGCAGGCCATCCCCTCTGAAGTTGCTGACAGGACTCAGGACGCAGGACCCTTGTCTGGTACATATCGATTAGCGCTTTGCATCCAAACCAGAGCAAATCCATTCTGTGAATCTCTGTAGCGGCACACGACCCAAGCACCGAGCACTTTTCCGCAAGGATAATCCCACCCCACCCTCTGATGGAACTTTTTCCCCTAGTCCTTCGTCCTTTGACCGCAATTCGCTGCGGCTGCCTTAAACTGCCTCGACGCAATTGTCTGCGAAATTGTTTGTTTATTTTGATGTTGTTTTAATGCGTGCTAAGTCTCTGATATTTATGGTTGATTCGCCTTTAGAGTTCCTGGGAAAAACAAACATCCTTAGCGCCACGGCTGAGGTGAGTTTCAGCTTCAAAATGAAAGCTTTTCGTGAGAGCTTAAGAGGAAAAATTGGTTGGAAAATTGTCTGTATGGTTTTCGGCTAGGCTTTTCATGCCGTAGAAATTCCTGTCCTTTTTGATGTAGATATTAAAAAACTCCTTTAAAACTAAAAGTAATTTAATTTTACAAAGCAAATACCATTAAAAAAAATCCAAAACTACGCAACCTTTCGGATTTTTTGTTTCTCTAGGAATACCAATCAAAATAAAAATAAAACCATACAAGAAATTCATAAGAAAACTGCTTATTTGCGTTTGCACTTTCAAAATAACATAATTCACGTTAAACATTTTAAAATATCGAGGTTTAAACCTGTCCTCGATTTTGGCAAACTTATCCGTGCTTCTTTATAATTTGCATAGATTTCGATTAACGCTTGTCAACTTGCGATCGTTCAGAAGACCACCTGAAAACACAGGGAAATATTGATGCCCGGGTTCAATGAGGTTTACAGATTCACTCGGGGATGACATTCAGCTGTCGCCCGCGCACTTCACATCACTTCTCAATGAGCAAACATGCGAGCTTTCGGTTCGAAACTAGTAATCAATGAACGTGTAAATACATTTTAATGAACCCCAAAATAAAAAAAAACAAATTTGCTGGTGTTCTTTGTGCTGTGAATTATAAAACAAAACCAAAACAAACAAGCCGTGCAAAAAAGAAGGAATTGCAAGTTTAAGATCCGTCGAACTTAAATACTCTTTATAAAAATCTTTAAAATTAATCCTCAAATGATTTTTGTTTATTTTGTTTAATAAAATAGATACAGCATTAAATTAATTATAAAAAACTTTTTTAAATATGTAATTTAAACTCAACATTACGTGGTTGTATGATTCTTATAATATTTTTGGGTGACTTATCATATCAAAAGTAGTGCTAGATTCTTAAACGCTTAAAGAGAGGACCGCTTAAACTAACAGTAAGTGTCTTAGGCGTGTGAAGGTATGACACATGTATGTAAATTTTACAATTCTATAGAATTGGATAGCTAAATTTCTGTTAACACCCTTTTAAGAATTTAGTGATGTGGTATTTTACAATTCTATAGAAATTAATAGCAAAACTTGAGTTAACACCTTTTTTAAAGAATTTTTGATGTGGCATCTGGCCAGGTTCCGTTTCGGTGTGCTGCAACCATATGAAAAATCCCATAATACCCTCTGCAACGGCATGTGGAATCGCGAATTTCGGTAGCCGCAGCCGAAGGCGACGCCAATCGCTTCAGACTCTGGGGCTTTTGCTGGCCAGTCAGTCGGTTAGTTAGCCACCGTTCGCCGTTCAGTTCACACGTCGCGCCAAGAAACGATCCCACTTTTAAGTACCCCAACCCAAGTGCCTGGCTCATCCCGAGTTTTATCGGGATCCCATTGATCCATTGTTCTGGAACTACTGCAGTCCAGTAGTAATGCCAGCGAATGCCAACACGTCTGGCCAGTTTCGGTTAATTGGAACGTGATTTATGTGGGCCAACGGAGTGAATAGTTCCTACATCCGAGTGCCCTATAGCTGGTCAGTACCCAGCGGAACTCAGCCAATGCCGGGTTGATAAGCGCCGCGAGTGTGATAAGAGCGGAATAAAAAGGCGCCAAGTCGTAAATCGCAGAAATTAAAATAGAAATAGCAAAACGAAATCGAAACGGCACCGGAATTGCCAGTATTCGCATATCACTTTAATTAGTATATGATCATTAATCAAAGGCATTATTAAAAGTATAAACAAATCGAAAACGCCAAAGAAATACGATGGCCAAGCGCGCGAGCTTAACACACGACAGCAAGTCGATGGAACTGGAGCTGCCGCTTTTGGCGCCCCAGGAGCGGAGTCAGAGGAGCAGGAGCGGGACCAGTGAGTATGCCACCACTTCTCCTTCTCCCCATTGGGCCATTAAACCAGTTAACTTGGTCAAAACAAGCTAACTGGCACACCACACACACACACACACCCGTTCTTGGCCATAAATCAGTGACACTTGCACGTTGCATTATAGCCAGAGTTTTTTTTGGGGGGCAGGGACTATATACTGCGGAATTCGCTTAGAATTCCCCCCGATCGAATGTGAATGCGAATTATTTGTATGCCATTTAATTTATGGAAATCGTGTAGCGCCAATTCGATTAGAATATTGGAATAAATCAAATCAAAACGAAACCGAAACGATTGGCAGCTAAACAAAGTCGAGCCCCTCCCTTATTGCTTTTCCTATATCGGATATATCCGAACACCCCAACCCTTTCCATTCGCTCGGTTCATTGATAAAAGCTCGGTGTCATTTTTCCCCACTCGATGGCTAATTATTTCTGTCGTTGGTGAATTATAAATAACGCCAGCACAATTTGCATTTTATTTGCCCAGCTATAAAGGCAATAAAATTAAACAAAGCAACAGCAAAGGGTATAATAATGTTTATTGTATTAGAATTTTAAGAGATTAGAGAGTACTGTCAAGAATGTTGCATGCGATATTATACTATGGTTTTTTAGATGTGAATGAAAGTGAAATAAGGGTAGCAATGGAATGGAAAATGGGAGGGGATCTCTGGGAATAAACATTATCAAATGTGGTCGGAAATACAATTGTATATATATAAATGTAAACCTTCTTTAACATACAATATTAGAAACATTTTTCTAACATATCAATTGGTGCACTCTATATTATTCTAATGAATTAAAAATAGATCGATCATCATTGAAAATATTTTTTCCTTGAGGCATTGTTAAAATGACCCAATTTCTAGTGCTAAATTTAACGAGCCTAATCACTCAAAATTCCCAGTTGACAATCTGTCCGAGTCGATGAGATATTTATTGTGTTTAAGAACATTTCCCCTTTACTTGAAAATATTTACCTACCGAAAGAGGGCGTTTTCGAAATCAACAGGATGCATGATTCATGAGTACATTTACGACTAGTTTAATTGGGTTGGGCTAAAATGAATCACAGTCAAGTATTGACTTACTACATAAGAAGAGCCTAACCACCAAGCTGATAGCGACTTGAAGTACTCAATGAAGATATACCGCCAGAAGATATCCTAATCATTTTAGCTAATAGTAATTTAGACTTCAGGCTTGGTTTCTCAATTAGCACCATTTATGGCATTCAATTAGCAACAATTTAGCCACCGAACAAAGAATATTGTTTGTTATCTTTGCCGAGGGAGGCTATGCCTCCGCAACTTTGTCTTCATTCGTTTTATTCTAAGCTAATAAATAACAAATTTTCGCGTAATGAGACACAATAACAACAAACAAGCGCAGACCTCACGGACCCCGCGGTGATATATCAATCATAAACCGGCAAACTCAGTGCCGAATAGTCCGTCTACAATTATTGGGGAGAAAAAAGAGGCAGAGAGATTGGGAGATCTCTCTGTCAATAATATAATCATAACGCCATGAACAACGAGCCACAGTAAATTGCCATTAAACAAGCTAACCACCGAAATAAATACGAGAAGCAAAACAAAGGCCCAACAACATACAAAAGTGTCAACAAATTGTCAGAATTATATTTGATGTGATCTATCAGGCAAATTGTTCTCGACCGTCGACAGACGAACACGTTAGGTCCAAACACCCGCTGATCGCCGAGTGTCGAGCGATCTTTCGGCACGCTCCACTTATTTCCCACCGATCTCCGACACTGACCGCTGTTTTTGTGTCAGTGAAACTGCAGTTCACGTTCACACATCAGAGATAGCTATACTCAACCCATTTGATCAATTGATTTATATCATTACACCTCAGGCGGAAATGCAAGAGGCGAGCAACAATGCTTTTGTTGATCTCGAAATGTGCATACTCTTACTTTAACTTATTCCGTACAAAATGTATAGGTTGGGGTCACCATCCACAGGGCTTAGAAAATCTTCACTAGGCTGGATGTGTTTCCTCTACCTTTATGGTATAGAAATACTATAATGGTCTATCTACAGTAAATAGATTACAAACAACTTTCTACAAAGCATTTTTTATAGTTTTCGTTTTTAAAATTTTTTTGTTTGGGGTCACCATCCACAGTGTCACGAAAAAAAAAATCGTTACCATTATGTATTTTCTTTTTATCCTTTATAGGTATAGGAATAATGCAGTAGGGTTTTACTATTCCCTTTTATTTTAAGTGTAAGAATTACTAGAACACATCTGTAATTTTTCCTTAACTGCTAATATCAGATTATATAAAGATTAAACCAAAATAAAAGAGAGTTGATATTGGTAAATTTAAAGTTTGATGAGTTACTGGAATCCAATAGGTTTATAAGAAGAGAACGCTAATAAACGATTATATGCTCTCAAGAGCATCGATATTCCGGGGACTCCCCATTCGGCGGCAGAGTATGCCAGTAATGCCGAGTGAAGTGGTGCCGGCGATTAAATAACAACAGCAACAGTTTTGCGCGCCACGCGAATCGAGAGCGGCCCCCAAAGAGAGCGGGGGCTGGCTGCTTAAGAGAGCCCCAAGAGAGTGCCGGAAGAGAACGCGCATCAGGTGCAGCGGCAGAGCGGCGGCAGAGCAGTGGCAGCAGCAACAACACAACACCCGAGGAAGCAACGCGGCGTCGTCGGTTGGCAAAGAATGGTCCAAAAGCTGGCAGCATCCGAGCATCGGTTCTGCCGGCGTCGCTGCCAACGTCGCCGTCCGTTGGGGGCGGTGGAGCAGGGCGGGGCGGCCACAGAGGAGAAGGTTATAAAAGTTCTTCGCTTTGGAGACGAGCGTTCAGTTGCTCTTAGTCAGTCGTTGTGTGATGAACTTGAACAACAGAACAGCCGCCCTTCGAATCGTCGCCAATCGAATCGCATTTTCAGCACTCAGCGTTTGGGAAATAGTGCGAATCAAGAGCAGGAAGCATTGTTGTTCTTGCTGCGAGCATATCAAAGACAAGCGGTACGGTACAAGTGCGGTACGAGGTAGAAGATCCCGAGATTCTGAGATCCCGAGAATCGAGGTGTGGGTGCGTGAGTGCGCATAGTATAAAATTAAACAAAATGAAACAACAGCAACAAATGCGAGTGGCAACAATGATGATGCTATATATACTGAGTTCCGATGAGATGTGCTAATATATAGACGAAGACGCCCAGACAATGTTTGGACAACCCATAAATAATGCTAGCGGGCAGCAGCAGCCCACACAGAGAACCCCCTTAAAATTTCATAATATCAGCTCGATATTATCATTGTTATTATTATTTGACGTTATTATTTACTAGAGTGATGCTGCTGCTGTCTGCTTGTTATTTGTACCAGTTGTCCAAATTGCATATTGCTGTTGCTTCAACGGGGCAAAAACGCGCGCCAAGCTCTGTACCACGCTGCGTATGAGCAATCCGCGAAATGCAACCAAAATTCGGCACACCACCTGACCACGTGTCGAAAGGGGCGTAAGGCCGTTAAAAACTCGCATCGTATATTTTCGCAGAGACAGCCGTTGAGACGCTCGTAAAATCAGGCAGGATTTTATGTGTTAGTTTCCGTTTAGTGCGCTTCTGGCCGTAAATTTATTCCAAACTCACAAAAAAGTGAGGAAGGGAAATAGGGGAAAAAAACAAACGAGGAACGTGCGACGGATTTCCGCGCCGAGACAGACATACACACACCATCGCCATTGCCAAAACAAAAAGAGCTCCAGCAACAGGAAACAGGCTAGGAAGTCGCCATCAGCTATCAGCCCTGCCAATTGTGCAGCAGGACGCGTGCTGCAGGATTGGCTGCGCCTGAGAGCAGCAACACCAGTGGCAACATCAGCAGGAGCAACACCAACACCAGCAACACCAGCGGCAACTTGTTTTGTCTATCCATAAGGTAAGCGCATTACGCACACAGGCGGCTATGTGTGTGTGTGTGTGAATGTGTGGCAAGAGTCCTGGCATCCTATCCTTGCTCGTGGACGTGCCGCCAGCGACGTTTGCTTTGCTCTCCTTTGTTTGTTTATTTGTGCGCCTTTTTTTTGCTTGCTTTCTTCCTTCACTTCTCTGTCTGTGTGTGTGTGCTTTCTTTTTTGCCGCCCGAGTCTATTTGTTTGGCTCTTGCAACAACAACTACAACAGCAGCAGCAGGATAACAACAATGAGGATAACAACAATGACAACGACAATGACTTTATCCTGACAGATTGTTGAAGCCAGCTTTAGGCCCTCTGGTGGAAATCTGCAAGACCCACTCCAAGCATCCAAATTCGCTTCGAGGATTTTCTTGTAAATTGTTACCATAAATGACATAAACGGAAATGGTCTTTAAAAGTAGCCTGCTCATAGCCACCAATTTTGAAATTTTTTTATATTTTTATGAGCTATTAAAAAGTAATGGGTTCATTGGCGATAGTTGCATTAATGCAGTATAAGAAACTTTTCCCTAAAAAATGAATGAAAGAGTTTATAGTTTGCATCATGTTACTCAAGAAATATAATAGTTAGAATATTTTATCTATCTAAGCTCAATTCATACTACTCATAGAAATATTATAGTTAGATAAAATACTCTATATATTATATTCCATTCATATTGTTTATAAAAATATTATAGTAAGATAAAACAGCCAATCTAATATAATATTTACTGAAAAGTAACGCCAGTTAGGCTTTATTAATTTAATAAAATATTTATATATTTTTTAAAATAGTAATATATATCAATAACATATTAATAATACCAAGGCTGCAATTTTTATTCGGATAGAATTTAAACTCAAACTCGAATAAACTAAGACCTTCTAAGGTTTGGCTAAGCATGCAAATACAGATCAAATTCCACCTCAAATACGTTCTTATTCCTCTGAGGAATTAGGGTTACTCAAGCTCAAGGCGAAAGTCTAAGGAGTCGGAGAGCTCATGAAAATGAAATTG